GTCGCCAAGCTCGGGGCTCGGGGGAAGACACGAGGTCGGTCTCGCTGTATCACCTGTAAGAAGGAGACAAAAACAACTGTAGCCTGGAATTCAGACTCTTGCCAGGGCCTGCACAAGCCGGCTCTAGATCTTTGGTATCACCTGTAAGAAGTAGACAAAAACAACTGTAGCCTGGAATCCAGACTCTTGCCAGGGTCTGCACAAGCCGGCTCTAGATCTTTGGTATCACCTATAAGAAGGAGACAAAAACAACTCTAGCCTGGAATCCAAGACTCTTGCCAGGGCCTGCACAAGCCGGCTCTAGATCTTTGGTATCACCTATAAGAAGGAGACAAAAACAACTCTAGCCTGGAATTCAGACTCTTGCCAGGGCCGGCCTGCACAAGCCGGCTCTAGATCTTCGGCGCCAAGGCAAATAGGCCCCTACCCTGGGAGCTAGACTAGTAATAGTATCAGGCCGTTAGCCGTTTTCGTTCTATTACATGTACTATTACTAGTAATAGGGCCGGCCAAACTCCCCCCCCCCCGCCTCAACTCCCCTGTAGCGGTAATTTAGATAGGCGGACGTAGGTCTCTTGGCTGCCGAAGGAAAGCAGCTAACGGCCCGATACTAGTCTGGCTCCCAGGGTAATACCTAGACGCCCCCCCCCCCCCAACGAAATTTTACCTCAGCCCCCTGAGGAAGACCCTTAGCCGTTAATTGATGATGACAGGCAAAAACCACCGGGGTGGGCTTTAAGGAGGCCAAGTGGGGAAAGAACCTTACAGTGCCAAAAAAACAAGCTTGCTTGGTGACCAGGTTAAAAACTGGCTTGAGCTAGTGATAATAATTCTATCAGGATCAGAAATTATACACCTATGACTTTTGATAGATTCTGATAACTAGTAATAATTAAAGGTAAATGTACATTGGGCCAGAGAATCTAAAAACAAAAGCCTGCAAGTTTAAAATTGTACATCATTGCACATTACTGATTGCAACAAAAAATGTTGTGTTAGAATACATCAAAATATAAATTCTGATCCATCCAAACTTTTTCTCGGTGCGCACTGTAGGAGGAAGCCACAGAGAAACATCTAATACGCTGCTTAGTTGAAACACTGCCAAAATGTTTCTTTTATTAAATACAAACTTTTCGATGCTGTCTTATGTAATGAAACTATAATTGTACCGACGCATGCTTTTACCAGATGAAAAACAATTTAAATTCGAATATCATACCTGTATGATATCTATAATGTACTTTGGGAACGACTGCATCATATCAATTAGGCTGAAATAGCATGTAATGTTGCAAAATGGATTTTTATGTACATAAGTATTTTTCTTGGCAACCATCCCAGAATGATGTATAATTCATTAAAATATTAAAACACATCAAAACAGTTCTAGTGATCTAGTGGAGACAAGGGGAGATTAAAGCAAGCCACATACATTTGAGATAAAAATTGAACGAATGGATAAACATAAAGAGTATGACAAAAAACAGTTACTTAAGCAATTGGATATGATGTTGGAAACGGCCAGACGTTTCAGGTAGCATCTATACCTTTTGCCAGTGACACTAGAGAACTTGTGCAGAAATGCAGATTTCTGACCATTTCCAAAATCATAACTGTTAAAATTGTACATTGTTCCACATTACTGATTGCAAAAACAAAAGTGTTGTGTTAAATACACTTTGAATTCATTTTGAATTCATTTCTTTGCATTTTCTCCTTTTCCTTTGGAATTGATTTTGGCATTCTACAACATTACCATATCGTTTTCATATATTTTTTGCAAATTTGCGGCATACATTTGCTCATTTTGCAGTTGCTTCAAATTGATACAGTATGGTCGAAAACTTTGTATTTTTTTGGAAACGGAAGAAATTTCATACAATATTACTATCGTTTTCCAATATTTTTTGCAAATTTACGGCATATTGCAGCTCATTTTGCAGCTGCTTTGTACTATTTACAGCGTGAACTTTTTGGAAAATTTCATTGATGCGCGCACGGATGTCGTCAATATACTGAAATCAAGATGGCCTTAGCTATATGATTCCAACAAATGTTTACGGCAACAGGTATAAGTCGTGATGTACGTACCGTGAACTGTGGTATCCCGTTGACTTGATGTCTTCAAGCAGGCTCCGAGAGAAGTCAACAAGATTTTCTCTTCACTCCACCTGCACACAAATGAGACGGCAATGACGCAAAACGGCAGTTCAAACTCTTATCTTGTCTAAGCTGTTGAATTTTGCATGCGAGAAGTACAGTGTAGCTTAATGTATAGGGCGTGGCTAAACTGTGTGCTAGCAAAGAGTGTGTACACAACATGACAAGAAATACATGTAGTCTCAAGCGTAAGTGATTGTGTTTTAAATGGTGAAAAATATTCTTCTAACTTAG